ATGTTTTGAAGAACCATTATGCTATTGCTGCACCATTGACATTTCCACCAACAGTGACCACGTATTTCTGTCCCCACATCCTTGCCAACACTTTTGTATTCCGGGTTTCTTTTTATATTACAAATCCTAAGAGGTGTGAGGTGATAAAATGCAGTTTTTAAATAATAAGAAGTCCTTTCATTGGTTCGGCCTCTATCACTGTGACCCATCTATAGTTTCTTCTGGTAAGATCAGACAGAATAAGTACACTTAGCTTAACATATAATGGAATATTCGAATTGAGTTTTATTGGCTTGATCTTGATGGGGTTGTCGATGATATTTTATCATGTAATAACAAGTTGCTGGCTTACACTATGCTTCACAATTGTTAATCCAACCTGTCTTTTTTTATCTCCTATCTCAGCTCGAATTAATTAATTAATGAATTAAATTTATTTTTTCCTCCTCTTTAATCACCCCCAACTTCCACCCCTGACCTATGGATGGTGCCATCTCCCCTTAATATCTGAATCTCTGAAGGCAGGGTTTCTCATCCCACGCACTCACGGTGCACCAGGGGTGTGGTCCGTGACTCCATCTGGGGTGCAAACCCAGGACCTTTTGAGTGTAAAGCATACGTGCTAACCACTACACTATGGAGCCACCCCTCTCAGCTCAAATTCAGAGGTGAAATCTATGAAAAATATTTAAATTTGATATTTTTTAAAAAGTAGATTTTTAAGACTTCTAATGACTTTGAAAAATGTTAGCCTAAATAAAAGTAATGGAAAAATGAATATAATTAATTTTGTTAGTCTTTCCAAGAGAAATGTAAAATGTTCCGTTTAGCTTATTTTAAATGTGAATGGGAAATAGTCAATAAGTAAAAAAATACAAACCATAATCTCCATTTTCCCATAGCAAACAGGAAAAGAAAAGAAAGAAAAGGCTAGGAAAGAGATGGAAAGAAAAAAAAAAGTGGACAAAAAGAGAAGAAAATATTATATGTCGAAGATGAAAAAGATACGAAAATATGCATTGCTACAGTTTTAATGAGAAGGCTTTTACATTAAACAACTGTGAAACATGGCAAAGGCCATAATCACCTCACAGAAGACTATATAGCTGCAGATTCCTGGTTGGTTTACCTTCATCTTCTCTTCCTGAATACCATTCTATAGTGTCTTTACCTCAAGTTGGACAGAAAAGTATTTTAAATATTAGAGTTTTGCTGAATGATAAGTTGTAGAGGTTTCCTGACTCTTCGGAAGTGGGAAGTCTTGAGAGGTCCATGAGGAATTGAAAGCATAATGGATGCCATATATTAAATTCATTCTGAGCCCATGAGTGCCTCCCAAAGTTGGCAGAAATCTGATATTTCTCTATTCCAAGCTTAAATATTAATATTAATAAAGACTCATTTACTCCCACAGTGTCTTAGTCTAGAGGGTAAATTATCTGGCCCACCTGCGTAGAGGTCATCGGGCACATAGGATCCTCTCTCTCTGCTGAATCCAGACAGTGGGCGTCCAGAACCACCACAAGCTTCCAGGCCCACGCCATTCCCCATCAGATCTTCCAGTAATGTGTCTAGGCTGAGATCCAACAAGGGAGTGCCCTGGCCAGAACACAGACTCAGACAGATATCAGACAGATCTCAGTTGGAAGCCTGATTTCAACATTTAAAAATTTGAGACCATTGTAATTTACATCATCTGTGCATATTTCAATTTCCTCTATTAAGGAGAGATGATAATAATTGAACTTAGGTCATAGAATGGCTGTAATAAAAATACATGTGTGTTTATAGAATATATAGATACTGAATGAAATTCAGGTTTTCTAGCACAATATGCAATACAGAGTAAGGACTGATCGACCTTTGCTCTAAATATCCTTAGTGGGGCCAGAGAGAGTCTGGGAGTAGAATTCCTGGCTCCTCCATCCCTTTCTATGGAGGAAAGACTGTTCATGATGTGATTGCTGCCTGACCACTGCCAGACTCTCATGCTAGATCCAGTTATATCTAGGGCAGAACAGAGATTGCTTCCTGTCAACCCCTTCAGAGACTGTCCGACCCCTCCTGTGGCCCAGGCATGCTGGTTTCTAGAACAGACCAATGTTCAGGCAAGCATGTAAGGCTTTTCCCCTTATCTGGGACAGATCACACCCCAGTACCCCCATCCTTCCTACCCTGTCTTATATAACCCTTAGCACCTACCACTCAGTGTGGCATTCAAAATAACCACGTATGTAAATTTCCTTGATAAATTCATAATGGAATGTTGGAGCAGTAAGCCTATTTGTTTAGTTTCTCAGCCTGGAAAAATTTTACATAACCCCTCCCCTGAAAGGGATGATCTGGGGAAGACCGAAAGGGTGGCAGGTGCAAGATCTAAGCTTGTCTAAGACAAATCAGGAGTCTGAGCCTTTGTCTGTGGCCTTGTCCCAGGCCGCCAAAGAACAATTGACATCCAATGTACACATTCTAAGTATGCTTCTACTCTTGTCTAATATATGTATAAAAAATTTATGTGTATATATTTGTATATATCTCTATGTATGCATGTATGTTCATGAGAAGTCCTATAATAGATACATAAAATTTTAAATGTTGATCTCTAAGAATTGGTTTGAGTGGTATTTTTTTAATTAAAAAAAATTTTATTATTAATCCTCATGTTTTTAAAATTTTATTTTATTATTAGTTTCAAGTACATAGTACACTGATTAGACATTTGTATAGATTATAAAACTATCCCCCTAATTGCCCTTTCTCTCTTCTGGCTCTCCACCTCGCTATTATATTAATGCTAACCGCATTCCCTATGCTGTGCTCCCCATCTCGTGACCATAGATCATAAAATAGTTTTAGACTTACAGAAATGTTACAAATACATTACAGTTTCTCACCCAGTTTTCCCTACTGCTAACAGGTTATAGTACGTCAATACTTTTGTCACAACTAATGAGAAAATATTGGTTCATTATTATTAAGTAAACTCTGTGTTATATTCAGATTCCTTTTCTTTGTACCAAATGTCTTTTTTCTCTTCCAAGATATTGCATTTCTTTTGCTCACCATGTCTCCTTATCTCCTCTAGATTACAACAGTTTCTCAGAATTTCCATTTTTTGTGATGTTGATAATTTGAAGATTACTGTACAGATATTTTGCAGAATGTTCCTTGTTTTGGGTTTACCAGATGTGTTTCTCATGGTTAGACTAGGGTTATGGATACAGGAGGAGGAGGACCACAGAGGTAAAGTGCCATTCTATCACATCCTATCTGAGGTATGTACTGTCAATCTGCCTTATTGCTATTGGTGTAGACCTTGATCACCTGGATGACGTACTGTTTGTCAGGTGACTCCACTGTAAGCAACTTTTCCCTCTTTTCACATTTACATTGCTCATGAGAATATGGCTAATAAGGCAGTTTTTAAAATAAAAAAGGCCCCTCACTGGCCCATCTGTGGTTCTCTTTAATACAGAAAGATCTACCTAGACAAGCTTAATGTAGCCTGGAATACTTGAGGCGAGTGATCACTATTGATGCTGATAGGGTTGTTTCTGATGTTTTAGAGTTTAATGACAAGGCTCTGGCTTAGACCATGCCCCACAATGGCTAATCAAACTTGCCTTCCCTTATACCTATCTCACCTCAATTTTAGGGGCGGGAGGGAAATTCATGAAAAAATATTTACATTTAACATTTTGAAAATAAAAGTAGATATTTTAAAAATATTCTCATCAGTTCAAAAAAATTAACTAAATAAAAATCACACAAAATAAATTTGTTGTTAGTCTCTATGAGAGAAAGAAAATATTCCTCTTATTTTATTTTAATTTATAAATGAGAAATGTAAGATTATACTGAATAAGTAATTTAACATGATAATAATAGTCTCTGTTTGTAGGTCAGCCTGATTAGGGAACAGGATGAAAGAAAGAAATAAGGACAGAAGAAGTGCATTATAAAGCGAAAAAGAAAGAGAGGTCAAAAGAACAGGAAAAATACATATAAAAGTGGTCATAAAAGTTTTAAAATATACTTTGAGAAAAATAAGATGGTGACAAACATTCCTGCAGTCATAATAAGAGAGGTATTTTACACTAATGAAAAGACATAAAACTTCCTTTGCCTTAACATACATTAAACTCACTATTCTTACAAAAGATATTTCCACTTTCTCAATTCTTCCCAAACATCTTGAAAGAGTTGCCTATACTCACTACTTCCTCCAGCCATAGTCCATTCATTCCTCAACCCACTGTGTTGTGGCTTCTATACCACTTCTGCATTGAAACTGTGCTGTCAATAACCTGGAACTTTTCACAGAAAACAGATACAGTCACCCTTCCATCCTCGTTCCCCATCTACTTCAGGACCTTCACCCATGAATCTTTTTGGAGAGAGGCTTTAACTCACTTTTTATTTTCATGATCTCTAGTGTTTATGATTCATCCACTTCTCTTTGCATTGAACAACCAGTTTCTTCTAGTCTCATAATGTAAGCTTTCAGGAGATTCTTAGTATGTACATAGCATCTAAAGCTGATGATTCCATCATTTTCCTCAAGTCTTAGGACCTTCTTGGACTTGGAAGCCTCTCTATTCATCTGCCAGTTGGACACATTTTCCTGAGCTTTCTACTGACCCCTCAAACTCGTGATGTATAAAATGGAACCCATCCACTTCCTGGGCACCTTCCAGTCGCTTCTGACTTGGTGGAATTAGAAAGCAGGCAGCCACTCAGCCAGAGGATGTGGTGATCTTGAGGAACCAGGACATGCAAGGTGAGGAGGGCTGATGGTGATTTGCAGGTGTGCAGGAAGCAGAGACCTGACACAAGGGTGAACTGAGAGTATTTGGTGTCACGGGGAAGGAGCCAGTGGCCAGGAGAAAGGAGAAGAAGGAAACATGGAGGAGACAGGAGGGACATGTGGAAGGAGACAGGACCAGAGGTGCCAGGGACAGGACAGGGTGAGTGACCCCACCACTGAAAAGACATAGCAGTTACTGAATCTTATAGTCCTTTCCTTTTCCTTGGTAGCTGTTACAAAAATCTTGCCCTTTACAACAAAAGGTTGAAATCTTCAGGGCCCCATAATAGAAATTTGAAGGCAAACAATATTCTTCGCAGTCCAATTGAGTGTGGTTGTAGCGCCACTTATCTGGAAGAGAAAGGATTTATACTCAGTGTCAGAGGACAATGCTTGGAGCTCAAGTAGAAGTATCTTCTCCAACCACTCTAAGCCTGGTCTCCAGACTACAGACACATCCACCTCCTAGCAAGGTCTCCATCAGACTGGGGAGCTCCTGCACAGTGTCTGAAGTCAGTGGCCTGCTCAAGACAGAAGAGCCTGACTCAACAGCATTACCTTTCTCAGTGAAAATGAAGAAGTCTCTGCTTCTGCATCCAGGGCTTTGCTCTATAGTGCAATTGCCCTGATCCTGCAAACAATGACCACTGTTCAGATTGTTGCAGACCATACATAATGTAGGTGGAGCTGTGGAAAACAGACAGGAAAGCTGATCCCCAGATTGCATGGGCTGAGACCAAGGTAGGCTAGAACACCGATAAGGCCTACGACTTCAAAGGAAAAGCATGACTCTATATTCCTCCTCCAATACACTCTTAATGCCTGGAAAATGTTCCCATCAGATTATGTCCCTAGATTCTTTAAGAATCTGGGCCTTTGACATAGTTCTTGATTCCATTAAAAAAAAGAAAATTCTTCCCTTTGCTATGGTGCCTTTATGCGGAATACATTGAGAAAATCTCCATACAGCCATCTGAGGCTAGAAATCTGTTAGAATATCATGGGATATAACTGTGCTGGCTCCAAGGTGGGGATGCAGTCCCATAAATCTCCTACGACAACGAACCCCAAAAGTCTTTGAAAGTCTAAACATATTTAAGTGACAACAGTGTATTTGCCACGGAAATATTGGTTTCAAGATAAGCCCTCAGTGCCCTGTTTCTGCTAGAGCCCTGCCCCTAGGCTGCTTCTTTAAATAATAAGTCTTGAGTAACTGTTGGCTCTGCCTCTTAGGACCACCCCAGCCAGCTCCAAAGCCCTAAATTGAGAAAGGCCCCCAGCTTCAATCTGCCCCATGGGAGTGACTGACCCCACTCTGAAATTGGGAAAGGACCTGAATCCTTTTCTTGGTAGTAGTCAGGGTGAGACAGCAGAGAGAGGCCCCAAACCCCTGCTGGTCAGATCATCCCAGAACTTCATTCTTGATCTTGTTCTCTCCCAAACTGGTCAAATCTTCATCCCTGGACTGTTCCCACTCCCTCTATGTCCTCACCCCTACCCAGCTGACCCAGGTCTTCACCCACTCCATGGAAGAACACAAAAGGGAAGACTCCCAGCAGCAGGACCAGGAGCTTGTCCATCTCAGTCTGGGATGGCAGGGAGATGCAGAGGAAGCTGGAGCAGGGGAGCAGAGCACCTAGGAAGGGCTAGGACAGGCTGCTCTAGCATGCGGATGACAGAAGGCTAGAGATCTGGACCACACTGCTGCTGAGCTGTGGGCAGAAGTTTCCTTTTACAGGCTTGCCAGTGGGTGTTTCACTGCCACTGAGGCCAGGAAATGTTCCCAAAGAGCCAACCCCGCCTTGATACTTCTGAGGACAGAAGATGTCCCAGGTGCCCCCTCCTGTTCCGTGGAGGCTGCCTCCTGATGAGTGGGGACACGATGCTTGACCAGATCAGCTGGGCCTCTCGAGAGTCAGACCCTCTACTCTCCAGACATCCCACTGCCCCAGGCCCAAGAACTGGGGCTTGAATGGGGACAGGACTGTGCTAAAATTTTCTGGATCCAGCACCCCTATGACCACTTCCACCCAGTTCTACGGCCCCAGCCAGGTCACAAGGTGGGCTGACACCCTGCCTCGGGGCCCAGGTTGCTTTCATTGTATAGGTGCAGTCTGGGCCTTTTGCTTCTCTTCCCCCAACCCCTCATGTTTGTGTTCACAGTTAGGACCAAAGCCTTCTCAACACTGGATTAGTGTTGACAACGGTGAGGGTAGTCACAATAGCAAACATTTCTTTAGTATTTTATCTAAACCAGTATCTACCCTGCTATCATGCATAACTTCATTAGGCTATAGCATACATCATCAAGCACATCAAATATATTGCAAAAACTAACCACAGAAAGAAGTAACAAAAGAACTATAGAGAACTAACTTATTTAAAAGATATGAAACTATTCCTGCTACATTACCCTTACTCTCTGGACCTCTAAAAAAGCAAGTGATTTTTTTTTTCTGATTTAAAAAAAAATTTTCTTGTGTTCAGAGGAATACTTCAATTCCAGTATCTCTGACATTACCAGCCTATGGTGTCCTGATTTCACTCAAATGTTTAGTAAAAATAGCCCAGACTTTACCCAAGTATTTATGCTTGGAGGTCCAGTCAAGGGAAGGAGAAAGATCCTGGAGCAAAATCCCAATGTGCAGATTGGGTGCTAGAGATAATGTTTCAGGGTTTTCTGGTTGGGCAGTCTCTCTTTCCTCTCTCTCCTTCTCCATCTAGACACCCCATTCATGACGGAGACCTGGACAGTCAAGATCACCAGTAAGCCAGAGCACTTGGCACAGTGCTTGGTCAGGACAGGGATGCTGCAAATATTTCCAATTAAACAAAGAAGGATGGAACAAATGAATGAGTGCATGAGGATCAGCCAGCCCAGAAAGCAATGGGGAGGGGGCTAGGGGGTGGAGAGGAAGGGCCAAGAACCCCCATGCACCCCCAGGCTAAGAATCTGACTGCATCTCACACTGAAAACAGAGCTATCATGCTTGAGAGCTCCCTTTCACTTCCTCCAGAAGACAAAGATCATGCATGCACAGTGCTCACCGGAGGAGTGTGGCGTGCATGAATAAATAATTCAACTTTTTGCCCAATCCTCAAACTGAGTAACTTTGCTGAGTCACCCAGGATTATCTTTATGTTCAGCGTGCCCTCCTACAAGGGCCATGGAATTCCAGAGGTCCTCACAGTTCCTCATCATAATTGTGCAAGAAAAGAGGATGAAGAAGGAATAAAATGAAGAGAACAGGAAATAAACAAATTATTGAAGCTGCTAGAGAATCCCAGACATCATCAAGCAGAGACAAGCCATTCACACTAGCTACTTTCTGTACTCCAGACCCACAGTGTTAGTGAACACAATAATTTTCTTATGTAGCAGTAACAACTGGAAAACTGTGTGATACTTGTCAAGTTACACAGTTAGCATCTGTGCAACCAATCTGTTCCTCAAGGTTCCCACTTATTAAATTGTGTTTTAATAATTGCTGCTTCATAGAAACTTGTGAAGATTAAATGATATCATACATGGAAAGTACTTAAAATGTGCCTCCTACACACTATGAGGTCAAACAATGATAGTCATGACAATATTTTAATATTTTAATATTTTAATTAAAATGTTTTCCATTGTTTATTGTATTTAAACCTTTAATACATGTGAAATTTATTTTGGTTTGATGTGTAAGGTTGTATTAATTATGTACCATTCAACTCCAACTTAACACTTAGATTAGTAGTCAAATTACTGTTTTCAAAAAAATATATGAAGAAAATCAATTCTCTAGGAAAGAAGAGCATACACATATTGGAGGATTGCTACTTGGTGTGCTATCATGTGGGTAAGGAAATTTTCACCTGGGTCTTATTCTGTTTATTTGTTCAAGTTGGAAAAAGAAGCTGAGAATATCCCAAGATGGAGTACATCAAAAGAAAATTCTCCCCAACATAAGAGCAATTTTATCTAGGGTGTAAGGAAGCCAAATAAGATTCTCCTCGTTCATGAAGAGTTCGTGCACACACTAAACACAATATCGTTCAGAGGTGCCAAAATGTAACTTCATTTTCTAAACTCTATGCCCAATGATAGTGGAAACCACTTTATCTTCTCAGCTTAAGATACAGAGGAAGAATAAAGGAAGTAAAAGAGGTAAGGGGGAAAATGTTAACAAGAACATGGCCTCAGCTGGAGATTGGTGTTAGTCGGATCCCATGGAAAAGTTCTAAAGAACAAATGCACCACAGACTTAGCCTCACCATGATGTTAGGAGTCAGCCATTGTTGGCTGTGGTCTATGCTCATGTGGGAAGCTTAGCATCTGGGTAAGGCAGCTCCCATTTAGCAGAGGGCAAATCTCCAGAGAAGTAAATAGCTGTGAGCTGTCATCAGCCAACACTCAATACAGCTAGGTGGCACATGTACTAATTAGCAAAGAGGATTTGGGCAGGGCACCAAAATCCAATCAAAATTATCCACCACATAAAGTAAAATTCATTTTTATTTATTTATTTTATTTATTTGTTTGTTTATTTATTTGAAGAAATTATTTAAATTTTCCCCCCTCGTTTACCTCCCTCCTCCTTCCTCCCCCCTACCCTCTGGTAACCACTAGTCCATTTTCCATGTCCATGAGTCTCTGTTTGTTTGTCCTGTTCATTTGTTGCTTTTAGGTATATATCCCACATATAAGTGATATCATGTGATTTTCAACTTTTTCTGTCTGGCTTATTTCACTTAGTATGATTATTTCAAGATCCATCCATGTTGTTGCAAATGGCAGTATTTCATCTCTTCTTATGGCTAACGTAAAGTAAAATTCAATGCTCTGATGCTGAGAATGCCAATGTTTGCTATTGTAACATTAAGGCAAGATTTTATAATTAGAAACCTCTTCTTGTTTAACAAAGCCAAGCTTTGTCTAAACATTGATTCATAGATATTTTAAAAGTTTATTTTGAAACCCAAGGCAAATCAAGCATCTCTTTTATTTTTTATTTTTTCTGGACTGAGATCTCTTGTCCCCATGATTTAATGGGTAAGAGAGCCCATATACAAATAGGAATAAAAATACGCTGTTTCCCTAATCAGAATATCCATGTTACACTGGCTTTTCCAATCTGCTTGTCTATTTTGAAAAAGTTGTCTTCATATCTTTCTTCATCCTGGCTCCTTAAAGTTCCAATTGAGAATGTCTTAGAAACGATTATATTCTCAAACACAAAGACACAGACAGAGTATACCAAATCGCTCAAGCAGAGGGGGTAATTGGTTTATTATAAGAATTTCATGTGGCATAACAAGGGAGAAAGAAACTCATGGAAATCCAGAACCAGAAACTGCAGTCAGTCTCACATGCAGAAAAATGCCAGGGTTGTTCTGTTTCCAGGAAGCTTCACCACCTTGGCCATAGATGTGCTGTGCTCTTGCATCACCAATGCTCATTTTCTCTCTGCCTATTTATTTCACTCAGTGTCTGCCTGTTTCTCTTCCTACCACTCTTATACCTTCCATTATCACACGCCTTCTCTTTATTCATAACTTCATCTTAGATAGGACACTGTAACTTGAACACTGTCTCATGGCATCTCTATATATTCTATAATCTTCAACTACCATGCCTCCTGCTTCATTATTAACATCTTTTCCTTCATTCTTATGAGAAGAAACTGACTGGCCATCCTTGTACAAGATCTCCATTCCCAATTCAGTTGCCTAGTTGAATTATGTGCTACATGGCAACCTGGCTAGCCAGGGCCATCATAACTCCATCCACACCGAATTGTGTCTCAAATCTTAGTTTCCACAAACTGACGTGCCCTTAAAATTTTCCTTAATGTTTTGTCCCTATGCCCACGCAGGCTTTCTGACACAATTCTCTCTCACCCCCTAAAGAGCTTTACCAGAGAAAAATGTGGCTCATGCTGACAGTTAATTGGGACGCTGGAGTTAGTCCTCTTCTAACTCCAGAATTCAAAAAAAGGAGAGTGCCAGAAGGTGTCAGGGCCAATCCAAAGAATCCTAACCCAGAGGACTGGGGATAGATGAGGCTGAACTATGGTCACAGCATTCTCAGTACTAGCTTGAGATTATTTTGACCCAAGTGTTCATTTCCATATAAGAGATAATAAGTAGCCATTTCTGAATCCAACCCTATTCATAGCATTAGCATCATAAGGAAACCAAAACCCCCTTACAGATGTGAGAAAGAGATTTGCAAAACTTCAGTTTGGTGCTTCATTATTAATGAGACTCAACTACCCTTCACTGCTGCTGCTGCTGCTGCTGCTGCTGCTGCTGCTGCTGCTGCTGCTGCTGCTTCTGCTGTTGGTTTTGCCTTGGACAACACTCAGGAGTCCACTGTAAAG